GCTTCTGGAAAAGATGATCAATTCTGACTCACAGAGCCCCTACAAGACAGTGTCGAACTGCCCTGTCGGGGTTTTCCAAGACTGTAATCTTTATGGAGGCAGTATCTTCTTCCCACAGAGCCGCTGGTGAGGCTTGAACTGCCTACCTTTCAGTTAGCAGTCAACACGTAACCACTGCACCAGCAGTTCGACTCTATAACACACTCGTGAGTTGAAATCTCCCCCCACAGGTTGTGATGGTTGTGGGTTCTAAAAGAGAGCGAAGTCCTGGTGACAGGGCTAGGTCCAGGGAAAGCCCTCAAGACCTTTTATCCGAAGTCAAAATGCATTTGGGGTGGGGGGACATCCTTGAGGCTAAAATAGCTCCCATTATTGGGGAGCCATGGGACCTACTCACTTCCAATCACCTTAAATTACATTTCCTTTGCAGAGACAACCAAAATATTTCCTTTTTCATTCCTCAGTCTAGTCTGCAGTTAATCTTGAAATTGCATGCACCCTAATGTGAATCAAATAAAAAAGGAAAACAGTAATTACACTGAGTCAGATATGTTGTCTGTTTGTTCTCAGTAAAGATTGAGCTGCAGAAGCGGTGGCTTTGGGATTATTTGTGTAGTCACAGGCTCTGCAGCTCACTTAGACCCTTCTTCTCTCAAATGACACACACACACACACACACCCACTGCCACTGAGTCAATTCGGACTCAGAGTGACCCTGTAGGGCAGAGCAGAACTGCCTTTGTGGGTTTCCAAGACTGTAAATCGTCACCGGAACAGAAAACCTCCTGTTTCTTCAGTGGAGTGACTGCTGGATTTAAACTACTGATGCTGCGATTAGCAGCCAATCTTGTAACCAACTTGCCTCCCAGGGAGCCAAAAATGTTGACTGCAGTAGATCACAAGTACATTCCCATGTGTCTACTTGAGGGTCGGGGGCTGGGGGGTGGGGGTGGGTTAGGGGTGGAGGTGAAGTGTGGATTACAAATCTTGAAGACGTGCTATATGCCTTCAATACAAATCGACTCACCATCAGAACATGGTGCTACCTGCTGAACACATGCGCCTCTTCCCCGATGTAATTCTAACCTATTCTCACTACTCATAGTCATATGTCGACTCAGAGTGACCCTATAGGACAGAGTGAATTTCCCAGACTGTAACTGTTTACAGGATCAGAAAGCCTTGTCTCTCTCTGGCATAGCGGCTGGTGGTTTCAAACGGTGGGCCTGTAGATCACAGCCCAATGAGTAACCACTACAGCACCAGGGCTCCCAATCCTAAACTAGCTCATGCAATTCCCAGAATCCTCAAATATAGATTATGCATGTATGTGTAAGTGTGTGCATGCACACAGGTGTGTTGCTCGTGAACATTGTGAGCAACAGAAACTCCAACATCACAACTAGAGAGATATATTTCTCCTTGACATCATTCACTGTCATTGGGGACAGCGACTTGAGGAAGCTCAAGAAAGTTTGTAACACTCTAGGCTAGACAATTTCACCAAAGATCCCATTCGTGGTCAGTTACAGTGACTGCAAACCCTTTCATCCCCTGCCTTTATGGAGAGAAACACAAGGGCCATGGCTCAAGGGCTGTCTAGTTATCATTACCATTATGAATCATTACTACCGAGCAGAGATATGAGCTAGAATAGACTGGAGGGCAGTGAGTTTGGTCTTCTACTTCCAAACCCCATCTTCCTTTGGAACTCGCTGGGCACGCCCATCTCCTGTCTGTACCACTCCTGTGGTTCTTATCACAGACCACCTTGTTTTCCAATGATGGGTGTTTGGGGCTTATCTCCCTACTGCTCCCAAAAGCTCCAGGCCTGGTGGCCGAGGCCCCCGCCTTCCCAGCTTCCTGCCTCCCAGGAGCCCAGCACAGATTATTGCACATAGTAGGAACTCCCGAATGATCCGCCTCTTGAACTCTAAACAGAAACGTGCCCTTTGTGCTAAAGATCCCTTCTGACCGTGGCATCGGACCCCCCATTATTTGAGAAGTACGGGGGTCAAGTGGCTAGGCAATGCCGGACTTCCATTGAGGCCCTGCCGACATGCTGTACTCCGGACACCCTTGAGAGCACACCAAATTATCTTCATTGTGATCTCCGGAGGCTGGGGCTCCTTCAGAAACCCAAAGCATTCTTTAAAGCTGTTCAGACCTCCAAAAGGCAAGTGCAAGGCCAAACCTTCAACTTGGGCTAGGCCTGGGGTTCAATGAGCTAAGCACCCAGACATTGCAGAGCCTTTGCCTGGCAAACAATCCTGGGCATTTGCATGAGAAATATCTCCGTTCCTCTACCTCCACCCCCCAGGGGCAGGGCACGGCTATTAATTCTTTCAGAGGTAGGCTAAATACAAGTCATGATAGTTTCTACCTGGCCCCCCACCAAAAAAATAGAAAACGGAAAAACGTCCGCAATTCTGAGCGCAGAGCAGGTAAAATAAGGCTAATAACGTATACATCTTCAGAGGCCAGGGCAGTAGTAAAGATTACCCCTCTTGATACTGGCCGTCGAAAGGTATTTACTTGGGTCTGTCTGTGTTGTAACAGTGTCCTAGACTCAAATGAATGCCTCTAACACTCCACATTTTTGAGCCATTCAGTCATGCATTTTTGTTATTGTTGAAAGTGGTGCGAAATTGCACTGCATGAGCTAAAGTCCTTGGTGGTCTTCCAAGGATTCCAGCTAAAAAGGCACTTCCTTTGTTCCTCAGGAGAATGCAGTCCAGTAGGTCATTCAAAAGGGGAAATAAAAGCAACAGCCCTGGGAGGGAGATGAAGGACAAGACAAAAAGAATAAACTGTTTGGGGTGTGAGCACATGAGCTTCCATTTCCTGCTGCTGGCCATTAATAACTCCCAGGATCTTTAGGGGGGATACCTCAAAGTAATATGTAGGCAGAGCTATTCCTCAGGTGTTTTTGGCGGGGTGGAACTATTGTCGGGAGCACCTGAGTATCCTTCCAGCTTTGGTTTCCCAGAGCCCAAGGCCCAGGGAGGCACCGCTGCTATCGCACACGCCACCAGCACAGAGCACTCTTGGCGAAAGCAGGGCGGGAAGGCGCACAGCCCCACTCCCCGAGTACCGCTGGTCCCTGTCTCAAATGCACGTACTGTTTGCACAAGTTGAAGATGAAAACGTGTCACTTTCCCAGTAAATGGACCGCTGCACGTACCCCCTTCAAAATGTGGGAATGACCCCTGTCACATTCACGCCAATAAACTCAGCTGCGCCCAGACGCAGTCCGGACTGGGCACAAAAGGCCCCAAGTCTGACCTGCAGAGCTGCCAAGCTACAGTGGCTGCTGGTCTCCGTCACTTTTCCTGGCGGGGCCGGAGGAAGAGGGGGAAAGAAAGAGGGCTTTAGAGAATCTACAACCAATAAAATCAAGCCGCTGCGAGGGCATACTTAAGCTCCCCCCAAAGACAGGCAGCTCAAGGGCAAACAGACTCCACTCGGTAATGTGTGAGTTATTTGATGACTGCCAAGGTGCTGCGGACGCTTGGGCGACTCCAAGTTTCTTCGGTTCTATTTCTAGACAGAGGCCGATTGCACTCCGAAAGCACCGGCAACTTCCCTCAATTACCTTTGTAATTTATATGTAATTGATGACTGCACTTAATCTCCAAGGGTATTAATAGCCCTTCCAAAAAATGACCCCCAAGCCTTCGTGCACCTTTGGAAGCGCCTGGTTGAAATTACAGTATTTCCTCTGCTGGCTGCCCGCCCCCTGCCCGCCCCACCGAGCGCCCAGCCCAAGGAGGCTTATTTCCATGAAAGGTTCCTAAGGGAGGTTGGCTCGGCCCCGGGCTCTATGCTTTCTCTCCGCTGTTAGCTGCGTTCGGCTGGCCCCCAGCCAGCTCTGCTTTGGCGGCTCTCTGAGCCCCCAGGGCGACTGGGCTACCTGCACGCCGACTGCCCCAGCCAGGCCGGTGGGGACTGCATGCAACAGTTGGTCACTATGAGTTAAGTGCGACCCGGAGGGGACCGCTCCAAATGCTACCGCCAGCCGCGGGGGTGGGGGGGGGGAGACGCCCCCGCTTGATCCGAAAGGACTTTTCCAAATATGTACGCACCCCCTGCCGCCAAAATCCGGTGAACTTTTTCCAGAGGCTAAGCCCTCTATTTGCATAACCATCTCCAAACTCAGATTCTGGTTTCCTGTAATCAATGCTTTCAAAAGGTCTGTAATTGACAGTGCAATTAACCCTTAAAGTGTGGCGAGAAAGAGAAAAAGGGGGAAGCATACCTTTAGCTCCCTCAACACCTTCCGGAAAGCAGGAGAGTTACCAAGAGTCAGGGGGTGCAAGGGTTGGGTGGGATCGGAGGATAGGTGTGTGTGTGGGGGGGGGGGTCGTCTGCCTTTTAAAAAGCGACTTCTCAAGCCGCTGCAGTTACTTAAAAACTCCTAATCCGTGTCAGTGGTGGCGGAGGGAGGAGAGGGGTTTAAAAGCACATCAATGAAGCACATAAATGCAAGTTCCACGTTCAGCGTCCCCCGGATCTGGCAGGCTCTGGGAGGGTGGTTTCACCCCCCACCCCTACTCCCAACCCCCTAGTCTGCCCCCGGCCTCTCATCACCCGCACAACAAAGTTGGGAGCCCAATCAGAAGTTCAACCGGGAAAAGGCGAGGGAGCCGGCGACACACACTTTGCGGGCGAGAGTCCTCCGTAGTTTCCCGGGACCGCGCGGAGCGCTCCGGGGAGAGAGGGGGTCGTTCGCAGTGGGACCGGGCAGGTCCGGCGCGTCCTTCCTCTCGGCGCCTTGGATTCAGGTGGGTGGCGGGGGGGCGGCGGGGGGCGGGGGGGGGGCGCGCGAGCGGGGGAGCCGCGCCGGCAGGGCTGGCTCGCTCTGGTTCTCGTCCGTCCGCCCGCCCACGGATCCCTGGCGGCTACCTGCAAACCGGCACGGAGGGACGGCGAGGCGGGAGGAGTCCAAGGCCTCTTCCCCAGGGGCCCTCTCCGCGCCAAGTCCCGGGACTCTCACCTACCATTGATCTCGTAGGCTGGGGCGTCGTTCTGGTTGAAACCTTTGGACACGTAGAGACGGAGCACTTCCGAGCAACTTTTCGACTTGGGCTCGGTGGCCAGCAGCACAGCGCTGAGCGCGGCCAGGATGCAGAGCAGGGCGGGCAAGCCGAACCGTGCCATGGTGCGGGGCGGGGCGGGCCGAGCGGGCGGGCGCACTCCTGCTTCGGGCCGGGACGCGGGCCGCCGGGGCTGGGGCGCAGGAGGTGGGAGCTGGGGGTGGCAGGAGGCGGCAGCGCTGGGCGAAAAGTGGAGCTGGGCCTCGCGCGTCAAGCAACGGTCCCCAGGACTGGGCGCCGGGCTGCGGGAAGAGGAGAGGGTGCGGAGGCTGCGCGCGGCCCAAGGGCGCTGAGGACCCGCGGGCTGGGAGAGTTGGCCGCAGGCCGGCGGAGGCGCGCCGGGCAGGCAAAGG